TTTTATTTAATGCCTTTTAGGACACTATACTTTAATTTGAAAAAAAAAAATTACAATATGAAGAATAAAGATAAAAATGAGAAACATGGAACTTTTTGCGCAACTTTATTTTTAGTCCAGGACCAAACTGACAAAATACGAAAGGGAAGGGACTAAAATGGGACATAGTGACGGCACTCGAAACTTTCAAGCTAAGTTAACATGGACAATCCGATCTCCCAGAGACGATAGTCCATGTGCCCCAAAACGCCAAAATACATATCCACCCACCCACCCACCCCATGTCCCCATCCTAAAAAACTGAAGGGCATTTCAGTAAATGATTATAATATATATTAATTAACATGTCACAACAAAGTTGCAACAGGCAGCTTACGTACGTTAACAAAAAATTTGCCATGCATCAACAAAACTACTAAAATACTCCAATTTTATCTTCAAAACTTAAATGAATGGATCAAAATTATTGTCATGACTTCACAAGTCACAACTAACTTAAGAGAGACAAAGTGAGGATACGGTTAATTTTGCTTACTGTTGTCATAGACTCATAATATAATAGTGAAACAAATTTCTTAGTGGTATACAAACATTTTAATTAGTTTTTAGTAGTCTATATTTATAGTATAAAATAAAATAATATACGTATAGTACCGATAACACATATTCCGATTTCTTTTTTCGCTAGTGTACACCAGAGTTAAAAGGACACGTGTCCAACATTGTCTATGCCTATTGTCTTCTGGTTTTATATATCTTTGAGCAAAAACTAATTAATATTTAAAACAAACTTTGCTTAAAAAATGAGACATACTTATCAAATAATTAAAACTTATTTTAGTATATATAAAAGGGGCTACACATGTACTTTTTTTTCCTAATAATAAGGAACCAATACATAAGACAAAGAAAATCATGTTGATAAGACAAAGAAAATCATGTTGAATTCTTTTGCTTATAAATAGACAATGAAGACTCGGATAAAGATCTCATTTCAGATATTTCAAATCTTGAACTCTCATTTTCAGAAAAAAAAAATGAAAGAACATGGAGAAATTGAAATTGAAATATCAGAATGTTCATTTATCAGTGCAATGACACTTACACTCAAGAGTGATGAAAATATACCCGAAAAATACATTCTTCCTCCATTGCAACGACCAAACCCGAGGCTCATGGACTACCCTTCAACCAACCTCCCCCTCATTGATCTTTCCTTGTTGCAGGATCCTTTATTTAGGTCTGAAACCATCAATCAAATTCATACAGCTTGCAACAAACTCGGTTTCTTCCAGGTATTTGCTCATGTAACCGGTCCCACAGATGAATCACAATGTCCCCAAACCAAAAAAGGTTATACCGAGATTTGAATCTAACAACTCATAGATTCAAGTTTGGGTCTCACCTTTTTTCTTATTAGTGGACATTCTGATTTACCTGTCCACGTTGGATGTGGGACCGGTCAGTTATACATCCAGTTGTTAATTTGATTAATACGTGAATGCCAAAATTTGTGTGATTTGAAGGTGGTAAACCATGGGATTCCTATTTTGGTAATGCAAGATGCTCTAGACATTGCAAAAGAGTTCTTTCACTTGCCTAGCAAAGAGAAGATGCAATTTGCTTCAGCTAATGTTCGTGAGCCTGTTAGATATGGCACTAGTATGAATCATGGGACAGATAAGATGTTTTATTGGAGAGATTTCATCAAGCATTATGCAAATCCCATATCAGAATGGATCCAATTATGGCCTTCAAACCCTCCAACTTACAGGTAAAACTACCAATACACATTCTTTTTTAACACACAAGAATACGAGGCGTCTATAAACTACATCCATGCTATAAAATTTGAGGTTGAATGGAACATATATTGACAATATTTATTGGTTTTGAGTGTTTTACTAACCTTAGTGACTTAATTTGAGCAGAGAAAAAATGGGAAGCTATGCAGAAGCAGTGAACATATTGCAAAAGCAATTAATGGCAATAGTTCTTGAAAACCTAGGCTTGAATGCAAATTATATGCATGATGAGATTGAAGAAGGTTCTCAAGCCATGACTGTGAACTGCTACCCACCATGCCCAAAACCAGATCTTACACTCGGGATCCCACCACACTCCGATTATGGAACCCTAACAATCCTAAACCAAAACCAACAAGGACTCCAAATCATGGACAAAGAAAGAAAATGGCACTCTGTACCATTTATACAAGGAGCATTAACAGTTCAATTAGGAGATCAGATTGAAGTGATGAGCAATGGTAGATACAAGAGTACTTTTCATCGAGCAACTGTGAACAACAAGAGGAATCGATTGTCGATTGCTAGTCTTCATAGTCTGCCAATCGATAAGAAGGTAGGGCCCGCACCATGGCTCGTTGATGAACAATATCCCATAGCCTACAGAGAGGGAAGCTTTGGTGAATTTCTTGATCATATCTCTAAGAAATGTCTATCAGAAACTAGGTACATAGACACATTGAGAATTCTGTGAAAGATGATATGGTTTCAGAACAATATGATGAGCATGTATCAAGCAACTCCCCATACACCTCCTGTTATTGTGGTTGCTTTAGAATATGAAATTAACGAAGATATCCAACATGTTTGTAAAAGAATAAGCATATATAATGCATATCTAGCATTCGTTTAAAATGTCCTACTAATTGGTAGTTTACTTCGTGTATAATTTATTTACATAAAGATTTTGTTTGTCTTCAGTGATATCATTTAGTGCATATATGCTTAGCGAACTTCCTGTACTATTACATTAATCAGAGTAATTTTAATCATTCCATCAGTGCATATTCCTTCAACGAAGAAAAGGTCACCGAAGTTGAAATTTTAACATCTCAATTATAATCATATTTTGCTTTCTAGCACGCGATCTAATTATAACTATTTGTTTCCAAGTAATTTAATATACGTATTTAGCTAATATCGCAATTCTTTTAGGAGATCTTATATTAATCAAAAAGAGGCTGATCTGGACTATGAAGTATCAGTCAACCATAATACATCTGAATTACAGTTTAGATATCAAAATCTAGATCAGAACTACCAAAATTGATTCGATTTCGTTTGAAAATCTTTAGCCAAAAAACCGGAAGTCAGATTAAGATCTTACAAATTAAAGAAGCGTTCGGAATTATAAGATATGATGAAGGATAACTTACACAGAGCTACGTTATTAACGTTAATCATGCATATTCTCTGTGCTGCCTCCGGCGACTGCTTCTCACGCGCAGCCGCCTTGAGTGTCAAATCTTTATCTGGCCAGAAACACCTGTCATTTAGCCATGACGATAGCTCGGATGGGTCCCGCAGTTGCATATCATATCTTCGGAAGATCGAGAAGCTTCATGGGGCCATGCCCAACCAAAATCTAGGCGGTTTCAAAATAATAATAATAATAATAATAATAATAATAATAATAATAATAAATTTATAATAAATATCAATACATAAAAGGTTAGAAAATATTTACTTTAGAAAAAACTAACTTTTAAATATATATAAAAACAAAAATTAAAATAATAATAAGACATTAACTCAACAATGCATTTTGAATTTGCTCGTTTAGTTCCTTAACTTATATACATGTTTCAAGGAAATAAACTTGTTTTTATAAGATCAATTTGGAAAATTTTGAAGAAATAAAAAGGTAGGTCAACTCAACAAAAAAAAGGCACCATTTGAGACGACAACATGCGTCGCAAATACTCAACAATGTCGTAGAACGTCCTCATAACTGATACTTCCCAACATCCCTAAATGTGTTGTCCTTAAAAATATTCCGGCAACTAGCTGGTGTTAATCCGGCCAAGTTTTCCGGAGGTACCTATTGTCGCAAAAGGTGTTGTCCTTAATAATGTCGCCACTAATACTGGTTTTTTAATAAAATTTATATATTATGTAGAAAATGATTTGATAAAAGAAAATAAATACTTTAATATTTTATTAAACAAGTAACAATTCTTCCATTATTTATGTTTAAGTAAAAGTTGCCCTAGATCTAAGACTTGATATTTTAGTAGACATCTAATACTTTAATACCTATATGATTATATTTCTAAGTGATGTCTAAGAGTGTTGAATAAAGTGTTAATGATCTAAAAAAATTAATATTTAAAAGTGTTGTAAACCGATATATTTAGAAAATGAAAATAAAAAACTATAAAACTAAGAATTTACAAAGAAAGCAAATTAATGGCTTTCCATTTTTGGTTTTTTAATTTGAAATTTCATCCTGCACATTACTAC